GAAACCCTTGCAGGGCCCTCTGTGTAGCACGTGCAGAGACCCCAAGGACCTCAGGGCTGGGAGGAGGTTCTCTACGGCTGCATGCATCTGACCACCAGCTGGTTTCAAAGCACTTTCATTGCTTTTTCACTATGAGAGAGGTTTGAATTTGTCTTGATCAAGCCCAGGGCTCACCCAAGAGATAGGTGGAGACCCATTCCCCTCTGAGTGCCCTGCTAGGACCAGAAATGGGCTTCTGCAGCCTGAAGGGGCAACCTTAAGGTTATAGCAGTAATGTCTTCCCCTGAAGGGTGACAGTGCAACCAGGGATGTCCTTAGCCTTGGTTTGCCCTGGGAATGCTGTGCTCCTGCACTCAGAAGCCTGGGAGTATGAGGTGCTGTGGCCCCTATAGGTGATGACACTTGTTGCAGTAGATCAAATGTATGAATCCCCAAACAACTGAGCATAGCCCAAAGCTCACCCCTCATGAGCACTTTGAAAGGCTCATGGTTTGGACAGAGCCTCCCTGCCCCTGTGCTGGGGGGAGCCCCATCTCCTTGCTCATACCAGACCCAACATGGGGCAACTCCTGACTTTTTTATTTGCATGATGGTAAGAGAGATGACAGCTGGAATGGAAATTCTGAGTAGAAGCAAACTGCACAGTTTGGGAACTTGCTGATTGCTGCAACGAAAGCCTGAGGGTTGCACTACATCTTGTCCAGCATTTTCTCTTCCCTATCTGGCACGGGGGCACCTTCCTCAGCAGACCTCATCTGTGCAGGTTGCTCTTTGTGGCCCGTTGGAGAGGGCTGGCCAGGGAGCCCTAAGGGGAGAGGCTGGTGACTGATACGTGGGAAGCAGGATGGGAGAGCAGGGACAGGATCTCAGCAAGGGTGGTGTGAGGATGGCAACGTACATGGGAAGATTAAACATCAGAGCACTGAAAGAGGGATGTGGGCTGTGCAAGCTTGTGATAGAAACCGAGGCTGAAGTCGAGTGGTGGGTGGGGATGGGTGGGGATGAGCAGCAGCTCTCTGGATGGACTCCCAGGCTTTTGTCCCTCAGTCCCTCTGGTGTCCTAGCAGGGAGGAGACAGAGAGGCAGAAGCCCAGGAGATCTGGCTGTCACGCAGGGATGGCTATTAATAACAGTTATACTTTCCTTGTGGTTGGTCTGTACAAGTCAAGCGTCCTTGACAGGCGAAGACAGCTTATAAACTGAAACAGGCTCCTGTGTGCATGCTGTCAGCTCCAGTGCCGCTGCAGCTCCCCAGCACCCACAGCAAGCCAGGATGCAGGAACCCAGCCAGCTGCCATCAGGACAGGTGCTCGTCATGGAACAGGGTGAAGCACTCTGACTCGTTTTCCTTGTAGTCCCGTGGTTGGAAAAAATGCTTTCCAGTCGACTAACTGGAGATTTGCTGAAAGGTCAGGAGGAGCTAATGGTGTTTTTCATGTCCAGGCTTCTCTATGACTCAAGACTTATGTGTTTGCTGCCAGCAGTGTCCTGCAGTAGGGTCCTCTTGCCACCTTTGGTGCCAGGAGACAGGTGCCAAATATGCCACTGTATGAAGGTAATGTGGGATCTCTGTTGCTTCTGGGCACTGGCAGGAATAGACCAGGTTGCTAGAGGGACAGAGGGAATAATTACATGGAGAAAGGGCTAAGCAGGCATATGGCACAAGATCGCTCTATGTATCTGAGGGCACAGAGGGCCTGTTCAGTTTGGTATATGGGTGTTTGCTTGAGGCTAGTGAAGCAAAGCAGAATAATGGAGCTGGATATCCAGATTCTCCTCCTGATGGGGGCAAGAGGTTATACCGTGATGGACACTGCATGTTTAGCCCTGGGAGTCGGCCTGTCTGATTTTAGAACTACCACCATCACATGAGGGATGGCTGCTGGATGTCTGGAGAGATGTCTCTGAATCAGCTGATCCATGAGCTCCATGTCCACTGAAGTTACAAGATGCAAGTTTTTCGTCTTCGATCCCTGCTGTACTTTTCAAGGGCATTTAGATCCTGCAAGGACATGTTCCTGCTTCAGCAGTGTCTCTGCCCACTGAGGCCAGGCTGGGAGTGTAGGAGGCTTTGAAGGGTCTGGTTATCACACACACAAAAAAAAGGCACCTCCCAAGAGGTCCGATTGAAAATCATGAGCAGACCAGAACTGCTGTCTCCTTCCTTATTCACAGGAGGAGATTGAAGTGATAGTGCATATCTGCTCATAAGTAGATTTGATATCCTAGTGCATGCAGCAGTACTTCCTTTCCTTTGCACCCTGTGAATGCCAGGCTGCCCCCATCCAGCCTCCCTGCCTAACTGAGCTGAGCGATGCAGTCTGCAGAGCAGCCACAGGTGCTAGCTCTCCTCCGTCTTTCTCTCAGTGGCAAAAAGTGCAGATCCCAGGAGTGTGTTGCTGTTAGGCCAGGGGCTTCCAGGGCTTAGCTCCTCTCAGGCTCCTCTCTGCCCAGTGCATGGTTCCCTGGCTGCTTTGCGTGCAGCTCTGCTGATGCATATCTACCCTGAGCACCCCTGGCAGTCTGTCCATCTGCTCTGCCAGCAGCAACTCTCAACACCTGCAGTATACCATTTGGAGCTCAGGTTGGAAGTAAGATGCAAGAGGTGGGGATGTGTTCATCCAGCATATCTGAGCTGCCGTGTCCTGCTGTCAGAGGGTTGTCTCATAATAACCTTCACCACTGGTGGTTGGAGCTTGAGCATGTGCCGCTAACAGACAGCCCTGAAGATAAAAAGGCCGGTAATCAGCTAGTACTCAAACATAAATGTCAAGCCAAGGTTATTCTAGCAGATTTCCTCACGAGACTGGTGCAAAAAGGAAGGAAGCTGTGTTGAGAGATCTTCCTGCCCACAGCAGTTTCGTGCTGGTGGAGTACATGGGACAGGAGGGAGCAGCCATTCAGCTTATTTGGGGTGCAGTTGGTCAGTATGTCTACATAAAGCAGTTAAAGCCGGCCAAAAAGGATCTGTTGCGGTGTGCCACATCCAAGCAGCGTTCTCACTTGCGTTTTTTAATGTTTTATTTGTTCAGACAGTTTTTAACACCTGTTGGTAATGATGCTGGTCAACAGCCGGCTGAACATGAGCCAGCAGTGTGTCCAGCTGGCCAAGAGGGCCAACTGCATCCTGGGCTGTATCAGAAATAGCGTGGCCAGCAGGGCTAGGGAAGTGATTGTTCCCTGTGTGCTGCAGCACTGGTGAGGCAGCGCCTCACTGCAAGAAGGACACTGGGGTGCTGGAGCATGTCCAGAGAAAGGTAATGAAGCTGATGAAGGATCTAGAGAGTAAATCATAGGAAGAGCAGCTGAGGGAGCTGGGGTTGTTTAGCATGGGGAAAAGAAGGCTCAGAGGAGACCTTATTGCTCTCTACAGCTGCCTGAAAGGAGGTTGTAGCAGAGTGTGGGGTCTGTCTCTTCTCCCCAGTAACAAGCAATAGAACAAGAGGAAATGGCCTCAAGTTGTATGGGGGAAGTCTGGATTCTCAGATTCTATGCAATTTACTGTGCATCATCCTGCAGACAATGGAGGGAGAGGACAGGAATGGAGCACTACAGTGTTTGGGACAGGCTGGAATCAGGGTCATCAATAAAATGTGCTTTTGCCCTCTGCAAAGCTGCATGGACCTCGGTAGATTGAACCTTCTGGTGACCAAGTGCCTGCCTGCATTGCTTGCAGTGCTGGGACGTGAGAAATACTTCTGAAGAGGTGACGCTTTGGTTTTGCTTTCAGTTCAGCCAGGCTTTAGCTGCCCTGATGCTGCTCTCTGGAGGCCATCGCTGTCCTTCCTTCTCTCTTTGTGCTACATAACTGAGTACAGGCATTGTGATCAGACTGTACAAACTAAAGAACTGATTTCCTTGGAGGAATCCAAACCAAGCCTGGTCTTTTCCAAAAATATAAAGTCAACTTTATACTCAGATATTAAAAAAAAAAAAAAGTACAGCCCCTTGTGCTACAAGCACTATCAAAAACTCAAGTTTGTCCAGAAAATAAAATATGTCCCATCTTACAGCATTTCCCAAATAAAAAGGGAAGAAGATTCTGATAAGTTTGCCTGTTTGTGTGGGTCTTGGGACATTAAAAGTTTAGGCCAGGGTATTCTCCTGAAGATTCTCTGGTATTGCTGACCTGCAAGTGAGTGTGTAAAAGAGCATAGGAAGGGAGGAAGATAGAAGCAAGCGGAGCAGATGTCAATCTTAGCATAGTGGGGAGCAACATGCCCATACTCTTGTAGTGGATAGAGGAGATGCCTTGTACAGAACTGAAATCCTTGAGAGTGGTAGTTGGTGGCTTGTGTGTGCTTGCAGGCTGCCATGATCCAGAGTCCCCTGCCTTGGGAGCAATTGAAAAGCCAGAAGTTTGCTTCTACCAAACTGTGGGTTTTGGTGAGGTTTTTTTGAGTTGGCCCTGAATAAATCCTCTCTAGCAGTTGAAGAGAGGTGGCAGCTGGAAGGTGGGAAGCAAAGCACTAGCTCTGGAAGAGGGGAGCGCTGGAGATAGCCAGATCTACCAAATCTACCTGCACTGCTTTTACTTGCCTGGTTCATTTTCTTCTGTAGGATTCACAAGGGCTTAATTTCAATTTGCTGCAAATTTGGTGGGACTGGTGCTTAGCCAGAGTGGTTCCTGTGGGGAAACCAGATAGACCAGCATCAGGAGAGCGTTGGGGGTAGTTGAGTTGCCAGGGCCGATTGGCATCTTGGAGTGCAGAGTCTCTGCTGATCCCACAGTAGAGAGCAGAGAATGCAGAGGGTCCCAGTTAGGTGGGAACACCTGCCCTGCCATCGGAGCCCCCTGGGCTGAACAGTGAAACTCAGGGAGCAGTAAAGCTGTGGGGAGCAGGAACCTGCCACATGCCCCAGGAGGCATTACCATGTCCCCCACTGCCTGCTTCAGCCCTCTGTTCCCTGCTTTCTCCTGACTCCTTGCCCTGACCCCCGCAGCCTGGCCTGGGGACCCATGGGGGAGCCTACTTAATTCCTGGTCTCTATTTGAACAGCCACCATCCAGTCGCAATGGAAACCTTTTTTAGGCGGCACTTTGGACGGAAGGGGCTGCGGCGCACCAGCGTGGTGGCCGTGCCCACGGGCAAGGCCAGGCGTCGCTCCCAGGTGGGGCTGCCCTCCACCGCGCTGGCCCAGCGCCGCCGCGGCTCCGGCACCCCAGAGGCTTCCCTCTCCTGCCTGGGCCTGGTCCGGCGTCCTGGCACCCGCCGGCGCTCCAGCACCACACCGCCCTGCCTCAGCCCCAGGTTCGCTGTGCAGGCAAAGCGCAGGGGCCAGGCACAAGCCATTGATGCCCAACTGCTGGGTCCCTCTGTCCTCCTGGCCGGCCTCGTTCCCATGGGAGAGGAGGGGGACAGGGCTCCCCACACTGACAGCTCCACATCCGAGCCTCTGGAGGATGGTGGCGCAGCAGCAGAAGCTGAGCGGGGCCAGCATGAGCGTTGGGCTGAGGAGACGTGGCTGGCCATGCTGCCCCAGCTGCGACCACTCCAGGGGGGGCTGCTGTCGCGGCGGCCCCGCTGCCTGCGGCGCTCCTCCTCCCACCACCTGCCCACCGAGGTCGTGTACAGCCGGGCTGCCTACGGCCTGCCGGGCCGCTACCGCCGCCTCAGCCAACGCCGGCGCTCCAGCGATGCCCTCCGACCTGGGCTGCTCCCCTCCAGCCACCCACGGCTGCTGGCCCAGCACTGTGCAGGGGTGGCCAGAGCCGGGTGCCCCTCTGCCACCCTCCCCGAGGGCTTGGGACCGAAGTCCACCTGCCATGCTGCCCCGGATGGCTGGAGCCCCCGGTTGCTGTATGTATGGTGACAGCGTGCAAGTGGCAATCAGTGCCTTGGGGAGGGGAGAGGTTGGGTGCAGACCCAGGCTTGGTGGGGAAGGCAGGAAGGGGCTTGGTGCCTTTGGCCCTGGTTGCCACTGGTGTTTTGCAGTGCTGCTGGCATACCTTGAGCACCTTCCACTCAGGCCACTGCCGCCGCTGATGCTCTCAGTGCAGCCCCTGGGGCTTGCAGTTGTCCTCTCCTGCCAGACTGGGGCCAGAGGGAGATGGCAGGCCTGGTTGTGGGCTGGAGATACACACTTTATCCTGCTGGCTGGATCCACCTGCTCCTTTCCTCCACCCTAACACATCTGGGAGAAGCTCACTAGCCCCAAACAAACAGCAACTTTTATTCTGGCTGGTTGTGCTGGTCCCTGCAAGAACCCCAGGCTCTGAGGTGCCTTGGTGTGGGAGAGCTGCAGGGAGCCTCTGTGGGCCAGGGGATCTGGATTGTCCCTGCAAAGGCAGCCCCACCACCACGGCTTATTGGGAACTCCCGGGGTGTTTTGCAATGGAACTATCATCCCCAAGGGCATTGACCCAGCAGGCCCAGGCTGTGCCTTTTGCTGGGTATGAGGTGTCTTTAGCTGAGCTGTCAGCAATATGGCCAGCACCTCTTCATCCCACAGGGCTGTCTCACAGGAAGAGGCTCTCTTCAGCCAGCTGTGCTCGAGATGCGCCTCATTTCCAGCCACTTGGTCTTGAAGAGGCTTGTCTGCTCCAGCCTGACATTGCATCTTAGAAGCAGATTGTTATTCCTCCTACCTTGATTTAATAGCCAACCTCCCTGTGTCTTCCAGGAAAGCTATTGCCAAATCCAGTCTTCAGCACATGGTAGCCCAGCCAAACCCTGCGCTAGCCCTGAGGAGCGACTCGGAGAGGCAGATACGCAACACTGTGGACTGGAGCGTAAGTTGTAGCTCATCTTGCTGGGCACTGCATGGAATAGGCTCCCAGCCAAGAAGCAGCAGGCTCTTCCCAGGTTGAGGCTTCCCAGGTGACTGGCTTTGACATATTTATGGCCTCTGCCATTGCCACCAGCTGGTGCCAATGTCTGTGCTGCTGGCAGCACTGCTTGATGCTGCAAGGAGAAGCTGTGCAGACACAGGTGGTTCCTGGGAGGATGACATAGTTACTCCACTGCCAGTTCTTCTGCTTCTGACAGCCGAGATCTGGTGGCTGGGGCCAAGCAACAAGGAGCAAGTCCCTGCTCCTTTGCAGGCAAAGCACAGCAGGCTTTAAGCTGCATCCTGAGGATGCAGAAAGCAGAAGCTGTTTCAGGAGAGTCCCCTGCACTGAATTTGCCCTGGTGCCTCCTCTCAGGGGGTGATGCATCATCTCCCTTGTGCAGGATACTGCAACGGGGGTGTAGGAGTTAGTTTCCTGGGGCCCTCTCATTTCCAGCAGATGGGCCATGGTAGCAGCTTTGTGAGGTTTCCTCTGTCCAGGTATTGTCCCTCTTTGTTGTGTGCTTTCTGTCTTCTGGCCTACCCCTCCTACCTGCTAGCATTACCTAGTACCTTGTCCCTTGCATAAAGCATCTTATGGGCTCGGTTGTCTGTCTGTCTCTCTCAGAGAAATGTGTTGTCTTGTGCCTTTCAGGAGACTGCGATATATGGGGAGCACATCTGGTTTGAGACCAGTGTCTCTGGGGACTTCTGCTACGTCGGGGAGCAGAACTGCATGGCAAAGCTGTTGGTGAGTCACCTGGGGTCACCCACCTCCCCGGTAAAGGCTGCAGATGTGGGCTGGGCTGTCACGTGATGGGTGACCACAGAGTCTGTGCTGCTGCTGCTGGGGAACATGCCGAGTCTGGGGAGCTGCCGGGGCAGGGAGTGTGTCCCTCCTGCCTCTGCATACTGGAGGGCTGAGTCTGTAGTTTCTGCCAGTGCTGATGCTCAGTTTACAATGGGAACCTGACGCAGGGCTGCCACTTGCCCAGAGTATTCCAGGAAGAGGGTGTTAGGATCCCACACCCTTACAAGGATAATGTGAGTCCAAGACCTTTCAGTAGAGGAGAAAAGTGAGTGCTAGAGACCCAGGCCCCTGCAGGCAGCACTGTTCTTACAGGTTGTTGCAGTCCTCCCTCCCAGCTTGCAGGTTCAGTCCTACTTATGGTGTAGGATGGAGCAGTGATGCCACTCTGTGCCTGCCCATGGGGTTTACTGTGGGAGCCTTGCAGGTGCCTCCTGGACCAGTTCCCATGGTGCTCTCAGGCAGTGTCAGAAGAGGCCAAGAACTGCAGGACAGGACAGGGGGGAAAATACCTCTCTGTTCTGTTCCAGGCTTAAAAGCATCTGCTGTAGGCACATGCTTAGATCCCTTCACTTGCGAGGAGTCTAGGCTGTGTCTAACTTTACCATGGGGTTTGTTCTGTATCCCAATTATATGAAGGAGGTATGATGGGAGGCTGAGTTCACCATCCTCAGAACACTGCATGTTTTCACTCACATGCGTGTTTTTCTTCCCCTTTTCTCATCCTGCAGCAAAAACCGCTCTCCAGGCGTAAGTGTGCAGCCTGCAAGATTGTAGTGCATACACCCTGCATCGAACAGCTGGAGAAAGTGAGTAGAGCCTGTTGAGCCCTCTCTGCAGCTCACAAAACTGTAACAGCCCTTCCTTTTTGGAAATGAAACATAAGAAGATTGGGGAGCTGCAGTGTGTAATTGCAAAGAGGGGTCTTCTGAGGAGACAGTGCCAAAAGGAGCATCTAGTGACACGATTGGGACCCTCAGCCCCATTTTGTTCAGTAACAGAGATATGTGTGAGGGTTTTGCAGCAAGTATCAAACACCTCCAGAGGTTCTGGGCCTTGCTGTACTGCAGTAAACTCCAGTAGGTTACCTTCAGATATGATGGTTTTACTGATTCCTCTCATGTGTGTTCACTCATGTGTGTTCACTCTACAGATAAATTTCCGCTGCAAACCTTCCTTCAGGGAGTCAGGATCCCGGAACATACGGGAGGTGAGAGATGTGCCTCGGACACTGCCCACATCTGCCTCTGCCTTTTCCAGTGTGGTGACAAAGACACCAGATGCTGCCAGCATCTTGCTCATCAGAGTGCAGGCATCATGCTGCTTCCTGTTCCAAGGGGGTGGTGCAGTAAAAGGAATGTTTCTTTGCAAGGCAGCAGTGCAGACTGAGTGTGAGGAGGGGGGAGCTTGTAAACAGCAAATGTAAAGCATATGATGGCTTGCATGTTCTCAAGTTCCTGAATCTGCATGGGGAGAACCTGCAGACTGTTTCCTGGAATAAACTTTCCCCCTTGTGTTGGTCCCCAGGCACAATAGACAGGGCTATGGCAAACAGCAGGTTCCCAAGTCTGCAATTTGGAAGGAAGCAGTATGGGCTCGCTTCTTGCTTTATCACTCAGCGCTGACCAGGGTGTCACAGGTACTGCAGGTAGCAGTGGAAGGTGCCTGCAATGGTGCCATCAGACCACTTTAGCCCATGTTTTAAGGTACTGGGTGTAAGAGGTGGCCTGGGACCTGTCTGCTGAGCTGCACTGATGGAAGCAACTGTCAGCCTTCATGTTTCACCCTCCAGCCTATGGAGCAGTGTAGCCCATGCAGGGCTCTGGAGTGGGTGTGGATGGCTCAGTCATGAGCCATAATGGTAACACAGCTGCCTCCACACTGTGTTTGTGCTGGCACAGCAGATGCAGTAGGGGAAAGGCATTCAAACACAGGGCTACCTGCTTTGAAATGCCAGTGTGACATCAGAAAGTGAAGCTTTCAGCATCACTTTAAACCTTCCTTTCTTGCTTTGCTCTTCCTGCTGTATCTCCTTCCCATATCACCCTTAGCCTAGCTCACCTATTTGTGCTTCACTTGGGGCTCTGCTGACAGCTCTCTGCCTCTGCTCGATCTTCTGTCTCTATTTTTCTTCTGTCCAAACTCCACAAATTTTCTCTCCCCTTTCTTGTTTTCTCTTTTTTTTCTCTCAAACTCTGCTTTTCCATCCTGTCTTTCTAATGCTTCTCAGTTCCTTCAAGGCCTCTTCCTTCCCATTTCCCTAGAAATGTGCTCTTCTGGCCTTTGTGGTGCCAGGGATCCTGTTTGGGGTCAGCCCTTTCCCTAGATGTGCCTGCTGGGACTCAGAGTTGAGCTCAAGGCATAGCCCCCCTTCTGCTCCTACTGGATTCATGTCTGCTAAAGCCAACAGGTCTTTTTGTCCTCTCCAGTGTGCTGCACTCAGAGCAGGCAACACTGGAGCTGACCCAAACCTCCTGCTAGTTTCTGTCTCTATCATCATGATCCCAAAAGCTGTCAGGAGCAGGATGTTGGACCCTGCCACAGCCTGTGAATTCTCACTCCCTCCTCTGTTTTGGCTACTCCCTCTGCAGTGCCATTCCCAATCCAGGCTAGAAGCATAGGGTGGGATTTAGGACGTGTGATGCTTCCTTACAAAACTTCTGAGTCCCTCACAATCACTCCTGCAAGTCCCAGCCCTCTCCCACCATGAGCCTGCAAGGCAGGGTGGAGGTGCCTGCTTGCTGCCCACCCTGGGACTAAGGCAGGCTGCAGGATTGCCCTGCAGTAAAGAGCAGGGAGAAGTGCGTGTGGGGGGCTTTGGGACCACCACTCTCCTAGAGGAATGTGGAAGAGTAGGTTCTCTGCTTAGCTGCAAGCACTTACTTCTGTCTTTCCATGGGCACAAACTATGTCTCCCTGGGGATTGTCACACATTCCACCAGCAGGTTTTTCATCTGGCACTAGGGGCATCTGGACAGAGATCTTAAGGGACCGATATGTGCTACTGCTTGCCCCCTGTCTCGGGTCTGCTTTCTGTGATTTTCAGTCTTCAGTTTCCCTCTCATCCTTCCTATTTCTTCTGGTTTTGATTCCCTTTTCTCTGAGCATCTTAATTTGGCCTCATGCCCACTAATTCTTTGTCTTTGCCTTCTCTCAGAGAGTTGGGGCTGGTGCCTGTGAGCAGTGGGTTTGCAGCAAGAGCAGTGGTCCTGGGTGGCTTGGGTCCATTCTTTCTGCCTGCTCCTGCATTCCTTCACATGCTGGGCCTTTCATTTCCCTTTTTTTTTTTTCTATTCTTTTTTTCTTTTCCCTTTAGCCCATTGTTGTCCGGCATCACTGGGTGCACCGGAGGCGGCAGGAAGGGAAATGCCGGCAGTGTGGCAAGGTGAGAGGGTATCTTGGGGTGTTTTTCTCAGCCTCAGGAAACCTAAGGTCAAATGAGAGACAGGAATAGGGCTGGGAACCAGGGACATCCCACCATTCTTGTTTGGCAGTAAAACCAAGGCACGTGCTCTGTTTTGCTCAGTGAAGCACTACATAAGCGCTTCCCACATAGAGTAGTTTTCCCCCTGGGTCCAATCAATCCTGGAGGAGACTGTCTTCCTGTCATGCTTTCTTTGAGCAATAAGGACACCCCTGCAGAGCGCAGTGACTTCCCTGGTGCCATAGTGGTAGTTGGGGCTATCTGACAGGGATCTAGAGGGCTCCAGCTGCGGATATGCTCTCTTTGTTAATGTCTCTCTTAGTGGTGGGAAAGTCCTGTTGGAAGGTAGAAAACCCTGAGGGAATTCCCTAAGCCTCTTATCCTTTCTTCCACAGGGTTTTCAGCAGAAGTTTGCCTTCCACAGTAAAGAGATTGTAGCCATCAGCTGTTCCTGGTGCAAGCAAGCGGTGAGCAAAGCCTCCATAGAATGCCTGACCAGCCTGTTATGTACCTAATGATCTCTGCTTTCTGCTGACACTCCGCAGGCTGCTTCTCCGCAGCCTGCCCTTAACAGCTCCTCCTAATGACTGAGGCTGTACTGTGGTATTTGTGAGCTCCTTCAAGAAACTTTCTCTTCATTGCCTTCCCATTACAAAATTTCTGTTTGGTTTCCTTCAGCACTCCCTGCATTGGCATGTGGGAGCTGGGAGGAGAGGTTGGCTGTCCCCAGAAGACTGAGCAGTTGAGTTTTCTCTGTCTTCTCATTCCCCAGTATCACAGCAAAGTGTCCTGTTTCATGCTGCAACACATTGAAGAGCCCTGCTCGCTGGGGGCTCATGCTGCTGTGGTCGTTCCTCCCACCTGGATTCTGCGGGTTCGGCGGCCCCAGGTAAGTCATCTCAGCTCTTGTGGCTCTTTCACAACTCCCACTTGCCCAGTGGCTCTTTATGGAGTTTCTGTGGTTTTTTTTTTGTCTCTAGAATCCACTAAAATCTAGTAAGAAGAAGAAGAGGACATCATTCAAGCGGAAATCCAGCAAAAAGGGGGCTGAGGTAAGAGATCAGGGGACAGGTAATAACCTTGTCTTGGAAGGGTAGAGGGACCGAACAGTGAGGCACAGGGCTGGGAAACAAAGGGGACTTTGCTGGGTCTGTGCTGAGGTTAAGAGAGTTGAGCTGGAGGGAGGATGCCTCTTGGCAGGATATATTCCAGCTATGAGACTTGTGGGGTGACTGAGATGTTCTCTTCCCCACCCTTCTGACCCGTGTGATGTTAGGGCTCAGTTGGAGGTAGGAGTTTGCATTTTCCCAGGTTTGTTGAAGGACTTGTGGTGTCTCTTGCAGGAAGGGAGGTGGAAACCCTTTGTCATCAAACCCATGCCAGCTCCTCTTATGAAGCCCTTACTGGTGTTTGTGAACCCCAAGAGTGGTGGGAATCAGGTATGGCCTTGCCCAGTACCTCCCTGAGAAGGCATCTCCATGAGGGCATTTCCATTTGACTGCTAAGGTCTCATCATAGTTTTGGTGATGTCTCAGCTGCAGAAGAAGTGTGGCAATCACCACTGGCACCACAAGTGCCAGTTTTTCTGCCCAGCAGCTCCCACCTAGGCCAGGCTTTGCCTGTGTGCCCCCCAGAATGATGTCTTGGCCTACCCCCAGGACCAGATGCCTTCTTCCACTGTCCACTGTGAACTCCCTGTTACGTGATGTTTTTCTTCTCCCGATAGGGAGCCAAGATCATCCAGTCCTTCATGTGGTATCTCAATCCACGGCAAGTTTTTGACCTGAGCCAGGGTGGACCCAAGGAGGCGTGAGTACTGATGGGGGCAACACCTTTGTCTCCCCGTCCCTGCCCCAGAGATTGCTTGATGCTCCATAGCTCCCACCTGCAAAGAGATCTCCAATATTTTGAGAGGCCTCTTTAGGATAGCTTTGGTCAGTCAGTGATTCGTGCTGGAGGGCTGGTCCAATCAAGGCTAGTGGCGAAGAGACCATCTGTGGGGTGAGGTTCCCAGACATAGTTCCTTATATTTAACACTGTGTAAGTCTTGTCTGCTCGCTTGGGTTATCTGTGTGTGCATAGCCTGTGGACACCCCACTCTTCCTACGCGAGAGCTGGTGAAGCCAAAGTTACTGTGGCTTTGCCCACTGTTGAGAACAGCTGTGGCAATGGGAAGGGAGACACTTCGTGAATGCCAAGGGCTCTGTGAGGCAGGTGCCTCATAACACCTTCGGTACTTCTTCCCTCCCCTCCTTAATTTCCGTGTTCCCTGCAGGCTGGAACTGTACCGCAAAGTCCACAACCTCCGGATCCTGGCGTGTGGGGGAGATGGCACGGTGAGTCCCCCAGCCCCTTGGTGCCTGTGGTGCCCTTGGCCCCATGCCTTTCCAGTGCAGAAAGCAGCCCTTCCTTTTTGTAATCCAGAAAGGGGCAAACTGCACTGTGACACTGGATACTGTGGATGCCCTCATGCACTGCTTCAGGGAGTGATAGTCTGTAACATGTCTGGATTTGTAGCCCTTTGGGGGCCAATGTCTTCACTAGGGTTATTACTATCTCCTGCAGCACCTGTTTGGAGCAATAAAGACGGTAAATAGCCTTGGTGGTGGCTAAGGGGACCCCATCTCTGCCATCACTAATGCTCCGAGCCATCTCTGCCTGCCTGCTGGTCCCTGAAATAACTGTTTCTTTGCACTTTCTTACTTGAGCAGGTGGGCTGGATACTCTCCATTCTGGACCAGTTACGCATCAACCCACCTCCTCCTGTGGCCATCCTGCCTTTGGGAACAGGGAATGACTTGGCCAGAACACTGAACTGGGGTGGGGTAAGTGACAGGCACAAGAGCCCACTGCTGACAGAGAAGGGCTGAGCACTCTTCCAGACACATGGGTGGGAGTTTGCATGGGCTAGTGTTTTGAATCATAGAATCAGCCAGGTTGGAAAAGACCTCTGAGATCATCAAGTCCAACCCTTGGTCCACTACCACCACAGTTACTAGACTATGGCACTAAGTGCCACATCCAGTCTCTTCTTAAATACTTCCAGGGATGGAGAATCCACCACTTCCCTGGGCAGCCCATTCCAATGCCTGATTACTCTCTCTGTAAAGAATTTCTTCCTAATGTCCCACCTAAACCTCCCTTGGTAGAGCTTAAGGCCATGCCCTCTTGTCTTACTGATAGTTGCCTGGGAGAGGAGACCAACCCCCACATGGCTACAACCTCCTTCCACGTAGTTGTAGAGTGATGAGGTCTTCCCTGAGCCTCTCTTTTCCAGGCTAAACAACCCCAGCTCCCTCAGCCTCTCCTCATAGGGCTTATGTTCAAGTCCTTTCACCAGCCTGGTTGCTCTTCTCTGGACCTGCTCCAGCACCTCAGTATCCTTCCTGACTTCCCATAAAAACAGATGGACAATAAGCGCCATTTGGATTTTACCATTCTTCTAACATTTAAATTGTTTCACATTAGATAATAATCTAGTAGGGTGTTAACAAAAGCAATCACTATTTCAAACTTCAGGAGATTTTTAGAAGGAAGATATGTTGTTTTAAATTTGAAGTTCCACTTTGTTGTGCATTCAAGCAGAGTTGATCTCTTCTACATCTTGTGCTCTGGGATGTCTTACCAAAGCCTGCTGTCTCTGGGGCATCTCTGTGGCAGGCAGGCATGAGACTCACCAAGTCCTTCTCTTCACCAGGGTTACACAGATGAGCCTCTGTCCAAGATCCTGTCTCACGTAGAAGATGGGAACATAGTGCAGCTCGATCGCTGGAACCTCCATGTGGAGCCAAACCCTGACATGAATCCTGAGGAAAAGGATGAAGCAGCTACTGACAAGGTGGGATACCTCCTCTCCATGTTTGTTCCTGTGCTGGGGGTCTGCATTCTCCTTTCTCCCACTGGCTCAGGCAGCCCTAGCACCTGGGGCTACAGTGTTGGGTTGGTGTTTCTCTCTCCCTCCTACAATTTCATTGCTCTCAACATGGCTGTGAGTCACAACGCTCATGGCAAGGCACATAGAGTTCAGAAATAAATGTCCACCAGAGGTTTTTGACCACAGCTTGCAACAGGTATGAACCCCGTCCCCTCTGAGACTGTTTCTTCAGCAGAAACATGGGTATTTGCAGATATCTCAGACAGCAGTGTGTGTTCCTTTGGGCCTAGGAGCCAGGGATCAATCCATCATCTCATGCTGATGTCCTCTGTATTTTCCTGGGGAGAGGGCAAGCAGGCTCCCTCAGCCTCATGAGCCCTGTAGGTGGCTCTGCTGTAACCTGACTTCATCTTTGCCACAGCCACACACTGGCAGTCTCATCCTTATTCCTCCTTTCCATTTCAGCTCCCTTTGGATGTCTTTAACAACTACTTCAGCCTTGGCTTTGACGCACGGGTGACGCTGGAGTTTCACGAATCCCGAGGTACAGGGCAGTGGCAGGACTTGGGCAGGGTCTGTGGGATGGACCCGTTCTTGTTTTTGGGTTCCTCAGGAAAGTGAACAAGAGGATTTCCCCAGAGACAGGCCTGAACGTTAAACATGAGGTGCGAGTTGAGGCTGCAGAGCGGCAAGAGGGGTTGCCTGCTCAGGAAGAGAGCTGGGGTCTGACTCCTGGCTGAGGCTGGCTGGAGAGCTATGTCTGAGGAGTGCTAGCAAATGAAATATTTCCATATGCAGGCCAATGACCTGAACTTTTTTCTCCTTTCCCTAGAGGCCAACCCAGAGAAGTTCAACAGCCGGTTTCGGAATAAAATGTTCTATGCTGGGGTGAGTGTGTGGAGGATATCTGAGCGTGCCTTCATAGCAGCCTTTATGTCCACAGGCGTGGACCTGCCTCCTGTTTGTCCCCTAAACTCACTTTACATGGACCAAGTTACATGGACCTTCACATGCACCCAAGCTGAACCCCCCACCCTGAAGCTGGAGAATTGCTGGAGAAAGGCTGCAGCGCTGGGAGTCACAGCTCCTCTTTGGCTGCAAGTGCTGCTGGCAGTATAGCTTGCTCCATGGCCTGCAGTACAGTTGCTGTCTTGATCTCCTGCCACTATTGTTCTTGTTCTCTGGCTCATGGATGGTCACCCAGGCAGGACCTCCCCAGAGCTGTGGGGAGGCAGGCTGTTCCCCCCTGCAGAGGAACAGGAAGCCTTTCCACAGAGTCCCCACACTACTTTGTTCTTTTATTTTACATCTTGGGCCAGTTACAGCTCCCTGGCTAATTACACTACCTTCCTGTATCTCACCTCTAGACTGCGTCTCAGCATTGCCTTTATTCCTCTGTCTCCCCATCCTCAATATACCTTCTACCCAGGTGTCTGGGTGGCTGGTACTTGAGCATACTAAAGGCCAAATGCTGCTCTGTGCCATCTCACATCTGTCCTGCTTGTGTCTCTTCCTGTCTGTACAGTTAAACCCAAAGGGGACCCATACTGTCACTCCTGGTATCTCTAGATGGTATCACATCAGCTCTGGTTTGTGGTGCTTCATTACAGCCTGAGAATGAATTTTTCTCTTGCAACTTGAGCCTTTCACTGGCAGAGACCCACCTTGCCAGCTCTTCCCTGAAGTCAGGATTGGGCTGGCAAGGGAACACTGAGGCATGTTACTGAAGGTGCCCCAGGGTTTATGGTAGGCAATATAGCAAGTGGAATGGATCAGATCAGTTTTGGGAGGGGAGGAGGAGAGGGCTTTTGCCAGTGCATGAAGAGGGGATTTGTGGTTTTCAGCAGCTGAGGTCTGCAGGTCAGTGACAGGCTTCCTGGCTGCCTGTTTTGGTGAACATCTGGACACTAACACTTCTCTTACCTTGGCAGACGGCTTTCTCTGACTTCCTCACTGGGAGCTCCAAAGACTTGGCAAAGCACGTCAGGCTTGTTGTGAGTATGCTGGGGTGCTCTGGTGCAGTGAAGGGGTGAACTGTGGAGGTGTGAGGAATGGTCCCTTGGCACACTGAGTATCTCAGTGTTGGGGAGCGGATATGTTCCTGGGACATCAGCTTCCCCTGACTAGAAGGACAGTCACTGTAGGAAAGCAGAGGAGGGAGACCATTTCTTCCGAAGTGGGAAGGGTGGACCAGGCTCCCCCTTAAAGCAGCCTGAACACCCCTGTATTGTCTCCAGTGTGATGGGACAGACCTGACCTCCAAGATTCAGGACTTGAAGCCCCAGTGCCTGGTCTTCCTGAATATCCCAAGGTGAGCAGTCCCAGGACCTGTCTTCATACGCTGGGCTTCTCACCCACGTGCTGCAGATCCCTGCCTGGGTTTGGGATGCATGTCCATGCATCTCTTACCATCTTTTCACAGGTACTGTGCAGGCACCATGCCCTGGGGCAACCCTGGGGAGCACCACGACTTCGAGCCTCAGCGCCACGATGATGGTTGCATTGAAGTTATTGGCTTCACCATGACATCCCTGGTAAGTCAGTGCTTTTGCCAGTTGTAGCTAACAACTAAGGGAGTGACTGGTCCCATTGACCAGGTGTCAGCCAGCTCCACAGATCCTCTCTGGAGAAGCTGTGGCGCTGGCCTGTGAGATAGTGTCTGCTCTTTGAGATTTAGGTGAGGTGCTGTCATACCCTGGCTTCTCTGGGTCCCTTCTCACTGAAATCAGACCTGAGACCCTCAGAACTTGGTTCACTTGCAACATCTAGCTGCCCGTGGGTGCTCCCCTCGTCCACCCCTCAGTCCATGCTCTACTCTCACACTGGACCCTTTCACAGGCTGCCTTGCAGGTCGGTGGCCATGGGGAGCGGCTCTGTCAGTGCCGGCAGGTGGTTCTCACCACGTCCAAGGCCATCCCCATGCAGGTGGATGGAGAACCCTGCAAGCTGGCACCTTCCTGTATCCACATCTCCCTGCGCAACCAAGCAAACATGGTGCAGAAGACCAAGCGGCGCAACTCCATGCCTCTGCTCAATGAGTAGGTTCCTCAGATCGATCTGCCGCCTCCTCTCCAAGGAAGAAGGGTTGGAGCGGGAAGGGATGGACTTATCCATGACTCATGGAGGCATTTCAATCCTCTTTTTCGTAGAGGGTCTGGGAAGGGATTAAGTTACAGAAATATGGCCTGGTGGTGGAGAAGCTGCTGGTGCCAAGCTCCCCACCCAGTCTGTAGAACACTGTGCTCTTGCTTGTTTTGGAGGGATGGGGGAGATAAGGAAGAGAGTGGTCTGTCACCTTCTGATCTCTTCCATCTTCCTTCCCCCCTGCACACAGCCAGCAGCCAGTGCCCGAGCGGCTGCGGATCCGGGTGAGCCGAATCAGCATGCGCGACTATGAGGCACTGAACTATGACAAGGAAAAGCTCAAGGAAGCCTGTGAGTAACCAAGGGGTGGGAGCTTCAGTACCCGAGTCTGGCAAAGCCTGTAGTTAAATCGCATGAGATGTTGGGGATGGGACACGGGCTGCTCCCTGAGTTGTGTCTGTGCCCTGTCATGCAGCTGTGCCACTGGGGATCATCGTGGTTCCAGGAGACAGTGACTTGGAGTTGTGCCGGACCCAAATCGAGAAGCTGCAGGAGGTTAGTCTCTGTGTGGGAAGTGGTTGTAGCTGGATGCCGAGAATGGAGGGGTTCAGGGAAAGGATTTTTAAACTTCCTTGACTTTCATGCACCAACGCACACACTCTTGCTTAAGGTCATGGTTTGCTTTCTCCATGTGGTGGAGGCAGGATCCCAAGCTGGATGGCTTGTAGCTCCCTGCTGTTTGGCAACTTCTTTCTCAACATTGCTCTTCTGACTGTGTTCTCCAAGCCCAGAGTGCCAGTGACACAGAAAATTTAGTGAATAGTAGAAAAAGACACCCATCCTATGGGGGCCTTTCACCCTTCAACCTTCTGCAGGTTCTGTGTTTCCTGGAACAGCTCTGCCCTCTCCAGGTGCCTGGATTAGGTTTATAACCCCTTCAACTCTTTTTATTTGCAAGTACTAACTTTTGTGCTCTTACCAATGTACTAGCACGTGTCCATGACCTGTACACAGACTGTGTAACTCTTGCTCCTGGTGGGCAATGCCTTCTGAGGCCATAGTGTGGCTTCTGATGCTGCACTGCTCAGTCTGATTCTCACCCAGAAGACTGAAGTGACATTGCTCAATCTTCAGTTAGCTGGCTCTTGTGCCTGAAGGAATCCTATCCAGCATGGGCATAGTGTCCTGAAGGGCTGAGTTGTGGAGCTGCTTGCCTGGGGTGGCACACTGTCATCTGCCTCTTGCTCTGCCTGCTCTGCATGTCCGTGCCCTGCCCACCTTGTGCCCAGGCACTGATGAGGGCACACAGGCAGTCACTTGGCTCCTGGGCTCAGAGGTAACGCTTTCCTATAGTGTCAGCATGGTAGACTGATGCCTCTGCAAACTCCTCCATCTCTAAAACTGTGCACTGAGGGTGATGTTCCTTGGTCACCTCACTGTTTACCTTTTCTCTCTCCTTGGACATCCACTGTGCTCTGACCTTAAAGCCAGGCAGGGACCAGGGACCTTGGCCAGGCAGTGTGTAAAGCCAGATATGTCAGCAAATTAAGCAATTCCAATGAGATGAGAGAGAGGGGCTGGGGGGCTGCCCAGACACAGGCTGTAACAGCACACCTTGCCTTTCTGCAGGATTTCCCTCCACAACCCTCTGCTTTAGAGTGCCTGCTCTTTCAGGTGTGTATGGCCTCACTCTGTCCACTGGGCCCATCTGTTATGTCCACTGTGCCAGTCTCATGGGCTCGTCTTGTGACACCTCTCTACAGTGGGCCGGTGTGCATTGGCTCCAGTCTGTCCTGTGCTGCTCCCCGTCACTCTGTGCTGTGCTCTTTACATCCAAGCACCTGTGGTCTTCTGTGTCTGCAGGAACCTCCCAAAGCAGGGGGGATGCTCTGAAGAGAAATGGGGAGGCCAAAAGATACAACTTTTTCCTCTCTTTTTTTATGCAGGAGGGAGATGGAGCCAAGCCGAAGACACTGTCATTCCAGAAGCTTTCACCCAAGTGGTGCTTCCTGGACTGTGAGTATCATCCTTCCCTGGGAGTGTTGACTGTGTCTGATGATGTGCTAGCAAGGTTCTTTGGTCTGCCATCTCAGTGGAGGTAGAGGAGAGAGATCCATGTGGCAGCAAAGATGCAAAGGTTACTGATGGGTTAGAAACCACAGAGGCACCTGAGAATTAGGGTATAGGAATTAGGGTGGTAGAAAAGGTGGTGGAACTGGTAGCCCAACTGAAGTGCATCTCCACCAGTGCATGCAGCATGGGCAACAAACAGGAGGAACTGAAAAGACACGGTGCAGCAGGAAATTGCCATAGTTGCCATCACAGAGACATGGTGGGACAAGTCACGCAACCAGGCTGCAATGGATGGCTATAGACTCTTCAAAAGACACAGGCAAGGAAGGAAAGGCAGTGGGGTAGCCCTGCATGTTAGGGAGTGTTTCGGTTGTCTAGAGCTTAATGATGGTGACAGTAGGGTTAAGTATTTATGGGTAAAAACCAAGGGGAAGACCAACAGGACAGATATCCTGGTGGGAATCTGTTATGGACTCCAGTCAGGATAAAGAGACAGATGAAGTATTCTGTAAGCATCTGGGAGAAGTCTCACCATCACAAGCCCTCGTTCTTGTGGGAGACTTCAACTTACCGTGTGATTGCTGGAAGTACAACACAGCAGAGATGAAGCAGTCTAGGAAGTTTTCGGAGTGTGTGGAAGGCAGCTTCTTGATATACCTTCCCAACTAGGGAAGATGGCCTGCTGGATTTGCTGTTTGTGAACAGGAAAGGACTAGTGGGTTCTGTGGCAGTTGGAAGCCACCTTGGGCATCATGATCACGAAATGATAGCTTTTGATTTCTGGCGAAGTAAGGAGGAGTGCAAGCAGAACTGCCATCTTGGACTTCTGTAGGGCAAATTTTGGCCTGTTTAGGAGACTGCTGATGGAGTCTCTTGGGAGCCAGTCCTAAAGGGGCAAAGGAATTGCTTTAAGAAGGAAATTCTAGAGGCTCAGTAGCAGTACATCCCCATGTACCAAAGTATGAGCTGGCAGGGGCAAAGACCAAGCTGGCTGAAGGCAGAGCTTTGGTTGGAACTCAGGAGAAGGGAAGGGGGGCAGACAACTCTGGAGGATTACAAGGATGTCATGAGCTTATGCAGGGAGAAAATTAGAAAGACCAAAGCCCAGTGAGAACTTAATTAATTTGGCTACTGCCATGAAAGACAACAAAAAATGTTTTTACAAATACATCAGCAACAAAAGGAGGGCTAAGGAGAATCTCCATCCTTTTTTGGATGAAGGGAGATACATAGTGATAAAGGATGAGGAAAAGGCAGGTACTTAATACCTGCTTTACCTCAGTCTTTATTAGTAAGACCAGTTGTTCTCAGGATACCCAGCCCCCTGAGCTGGAAGACAGAGACAGGGACCAGAATAATAAACCCCTATAATCCAAGGGGAAATGGTTAGTGACCTGCTACACCATTTAGACACACACAGGTCTGTGGGACTGGATGGGTCCACCCAGGGGTACTGAGAGAGCTGGCAGAAGTGCTCACTGAGCCACTTTCAATCAATTACCAGCAGTCCTGGCTAACAAGGTCCCAGTTGACTGAAAGTTAGCAAATATGATGCCCATCTATAAGAAGGGCCAGAAGGAAGATCTGGGGAAATAGGGGCCTGTCAGCCCAACAGGTCTTTTTCATGCCACGAAAAGTCATGGAGCAGGTCATCCTGAGTCATCCAGGTCATCATGAGACACAGGCGGAACAACCAGGGGATCAGGCCCAGCCAACATAGGTTTATGAAAGGCAGGCCCTGCCTGACTAACCTGATCTCTTCCTTTGTCAAGTTGATCTGCTTAGTGGAAGAGGGAAAGGCTGTGGATGTTGTCTACCTAGACTTCAGTAAAGCCTTTGACACCGTTTCCCACAGCGTTCTCCTGGGCAAACTGGCTGCTCATGGCTAGGCAGCTGCACTGTTCACTGGGTAGAAAACTGGCCAGGTGGCCAGGGCCCAGAGAGTGATGGTGAATGGAGTTAAACCCAGCTGGTGGCCTGTCGCTAGTGGCATTCCCTGGGGCTCAGTATGGGGGCCAGTCCTGTTTATTATCTTTATCAGTGATTTGAACAAGGGATCGAATGCCCCCTGTCAGTTTACAGACAACCCCAAGGTGGGCAGGAATGTTGATCTTCTGGAGGATAGGAAGGCTCTGCAGAGAGATCTGGACAGGCTGGATTGATGGATTGAGGCCAGTGGTAAGAGGTTCTACAAGGCAAAGTGCTGGGTTCTGCCTTTGGGTCACAACAACCCCAGGCAGCACTGTGGGCTGGGAGAAGAGTGGCTGGAAAAGTGCCTGGTCAAAAGGATCTGGGGGTGCTGTTCAACAGTTAGCTGAACACGGGCCAGCATTGTGCCCAGGTGGACAAGAAGGCCAATGGCATCTTGGCTCATGTCAGAAATAGTGTGACCAGAAGGACTTGGGCAGGGATTGTCCCCCTGTGCTTGGCACTGTGAGGACACACATCGAGTCCTATGTTCAGTTTTGGGTCCCTTGCTGCAAGAAGAACATTCAGATGCTGGAGCATGTCCAGAGACGGGCAATGGAGCTTGTGAAGGTCCTGGAGCACAAGCCATAGGAGGAATGGCTGAGGGAGCTGGGGTTATTTAGCCTGGAGAAAAGGAGGCTAAGGCTTATCTCTCTCTTCAGCTACCCAAAAGGAGGTTGTAGCCAGCTGAGGTTCAGCCTCTTCTCCCAAGTAACAAGTGACAGGGTAAAAGGAAATGGCCTCAAGTTGTGCTAGAGGAGGTTTAGATTGGATACTAGGAGGAATTTTTTCACTGAAAGGGTGGTCAAACATTGGAACAGATGTGTAAATATGGCACTTAGGGACGTGGTTTAGTGGTGGACTTGCCAATGTTGGTTTAACAGTGGGACGATGATCTTTAGGGTCTTTTCCAACCCAAAGGATTTGATGATTCTGTGAATCTGGGGGATGAGAGGACAGATACTCAGTGACAAGCCACAGGGAGCCATGTGACACTTGGAACTTATGGATGTTGGGGTCGAGCACAGCAGTGCTTTACCCCAGGCCATGTCTCTGGCTGCTGACCAGGAGTGAAGCAAAAGGTGTCTGCTGGTCTCCTACCCCTGGACCTGAAGGCAGCTTGGCAGCCTGTGTTTGTCACACCGGGACTGCTGAGGCTGCTCTCCTGTGTCATGCAGGCAGGGGGCCCCCCTGCTCTGCATGCTGGGAGCCAGGCTCACCGTCAGCATCCCGGTGCTGTAGGGGAGCAGGCTCCTGGCTGAGCTCTGGCTGCTTCTTCCCCCTGCCAGAAAGTAGCTTTCTCCTCTCCCTTTGCCTTCACTGACCAAGAGGCTCCCTCTGTACCTGGAAGCTGGCTGAGAGAAATGCCCACTGGTGGCACTTCATCTCCCTGACTTCCCAGCATCAAGGTGTAGAGCACAGCAGAGCACGGCCATGGGTTGCAAGGTGGGCCTGGCAAGCCTTGTACTAGGCAGAGAGGATGCAATTTCTCGCTTTGAGGTTTCAACCCTGCATGTGGGGTTTCTGGTGCTGCTGCTCCTCCCCGGTGTCACTACCAGGACTGCTGTACCAGGGCCCCTTTCCCTTCTCCTACCAGTCTCCCAGCAGTAGGTTCTGAGCTTGGGAAAATGTGTCAGAGGCCAGAGCCCCATTCAACACAACACAGGCTGATTCAGGTGGCTGAATTATAGGCCTTGAACAGTAGCTCCCTGGCTGTAAATCTCCAGCCAGGACTGGATAAACATGGCTCTTTCACTTCTCTTATCTGCTCTGGCACATCCCGACTGTTTGCAGAGAGACTTCCCTGGGTCCCCAAGGGTCCCACGGCAGCAACCTCTCCTGGACTGGCACTAGCAGCCTGGCAGGACATAGGGGAAATGCCTGCTGCTCTGCATGGGAACCCAACTGTCTTGGCACTGTGCTCTTACCTGTCCTGCTCTCCCTTGGTGATGTCCAAAGTCCCCAGCCCCTCCCTGCTCCCTCAGCAGTGGTGGCTGTGTGTGTCTGGCTCTAGCATAGCCACTTGCTCTGTAGGACCTCCTCTTCCCCTGTGGTGATCTCTTCTCTAAGGAAGAGGGCTGCACTCAGACAGGCTGGAGGCTGGTTTGAAGCTCTCCTGCCATCCTAGGAGACAGGGTCTTGGATCTACAGCTGGTGGTGGCATGCTCTGTTGTGCCTGCAGTCACATGCTCTGACGTGGCCTTGTGGAGGTCTGTGGGACCTTAGTCAGGTCAGCAGAAGGCTGAGCTCCCCCTTCTCCCAGTCCCATGGAGTGCCCTCACTTCTGAGCACTGTGTGACAAGGTGCACCATGTTAATCAGAGCAGTTCCTCACCTGGTGTAAGTGAATGCTGAGATGTGCACTGCACAGCCCTGAGCTTCATCTGCTTAGGATAATGGCAGAGCACTTAAAAGCCACCAGAAAGGCCATGGCATCAGCTAGATGTGTTCTTGCCTTCCCTGTGGCTCCCTGCCAGGAGTCATTAAGGGGGAGAGAGCAAGCGAAGGCATGTTTCATAGGGGCATGATGGTCACAGAGGCTCAAAGAGCTGCCTCCTGGGGGAAGAAAGCAGCAGAGTCACAAAGGGAAGTTGTTCACTCCAGGTCAGGAGGTGCTGTTTGCTTGGCTGCACCCTCTCTGCAAGCCATGAAGTGGCTGGGTAGCTCACTGTCACTCAGTGGTGGAAAGTGGCTGTCTCCCTTGTCTCACACCAAGAATCACCCTGTCTCATTCTGTCCCTGTCTTACAGCAACCACGGCCAATCGGTTCTACAGGATAGACCGTGCTCAGGTGAGTGCAGCCTTGTCCTCCACCATAAACCCCCTGGCATCTGCTGGGTGTCCCACCTTCGTGCAGACCAACAGGCAGGCATAGCCTTGGGGTCACGTGGGTCTCGCACTGCTGCCCTGCCCTGTGGCATCCCCAAAGGGGTGGCATGACAAGCCTGGTTCAGGACCAGCCCCAGCACCTTCAGGTTCCTCGAGGAAAAGGGAGAAAGTGTGGCTGGTAGCACAGAGCCTTGCTTGAAAGCTGCCCACAGAGCACTACAGTGGAGCAGGTAAGGAATAGCAAACATAGCAAGACTGGCCAGGGAACTCACTGACTTGGGTCATCTTCACCAACAATAGATGCTTTCCCAATGATCTGGAGAAGAGGACATGGAGATGAGGTTTACAGTGTTGATAAGTTGGCAAGGCAATAGGAAGCCTAAAAGGACAGGGAGATGTGAAGGTTCCCAGGACTCTTCAAGCTTTTCTGAGCAAGTGGGTGGGCTACAAGGAACGGGATGTGAGGGGATGGGGCTGAGGGGGCCTGACTTGTGTCTTTCAGGAGCACCTCAACTACGTGACAGAGATCTCTCAGGACGAGCTCTATGTGCTGGACCCAGAGCTAGTGATCACCCAGACTGTGAGCACCTCTCCTGCCATGCCCGACCTCGTGGACTCATCTGCCACACCCCCTGGGCACCACTTTGCATTCCCCTCCTCTTCCTCCTCTCCACCCTCTTCTCCTGCCCCCAGGTGAGTCTGGAATGGGGTACCTCAGGAAGGATGGGCAGTGATGAGAGAAGCAGGGTTTGGCTTCACAGCATTGATCCCTGGGCCAGATTGCAGAGGGGCTTCCTGGAAATGAGCAGGAATTCAGTGCTGAGTTAAACCAAGGGGTGAGGTGCCATCCTGTCTTCCTTGTTCCTCTGCCAGTGCTGCTATAAGCAGTGGAGCATCACCGGGTGGCTCAGGCATGAGGTAAGGCTCCGGCACCTGGCCCATGGGGCAAAAGACATGGGTGTCTTTCAGTCCAGCTAAGGCCAGCCTCAGGTACGGAAGAGCAATGGAGCTATAGGAACAGCAGTAGAAATGGGAGTGGGGATGGGGAAGAACCCAGATCAGGGAAGAAGTAGATGGCATGACAGTCTCTGTCTGCCTCTCCTGCCTGCTGAAGGAGTGCCACAGGCAGGTTTCTCCACAGCCATCCTTCTACATACATTGTGTACTTCAGGGTGATCTGCTGCCAGGACTGGCAGAGTTAGTTACACCTTTTCTTCTTCCCTTCCAGTGCTGAGCCTGAACACTGCCTCCCACACAGAGGTGAGTTGTGTCCCAGTCCCTGTCACTCCCTCTCAGGCTGTGCTTTTTTGTTTTTGTGCCGTATTTTTTGGCCTATTCTTTCCCTGGTGAGCAGGTAGGAGCCCTGCTGCCTATGTGCTAGTGGGAACAGGGAGCCCTGTGGGCAGATGACCCCAGAGGTGGGCAGGAGACACCTGACAGTGATTAGTGGAGTGGCCCAGCCATGCACCTTCCCGGCTCCACTGTGGGGGGAATGATATGGCAAGGGATTAATATCCCACCTGCAGAGCTGAGCACTCTAGGCTGGGTTGGGAGGCTGTCTCCACTGGGCAGCTGGAGAGGTGGGAACACTAGGACAGGGGACTCACCAAACTGAGCAAATGAAAAGAGTTTCCTGAAGCTTGATCAGAGCCTGGAAGTGTGAGTGAGTGATTGGTGAGGAGTATCTTGGCCGCAGGCTGATGCCCAGGAGGTCTGCTCCCCACTTCCATCACAAGTTATCCTGCCCATGGGCAGAGACTACTCCCCCTGCACACACACCTCACAGGGGCTGAGGTCTCGCTGCACCCCCAGTTATGTGATCTCTCCTTCTCTCCCCTGACTTGTCCCTTAATTCCTGAAGGTGGAGGAGCCATGTAAATCCTGTCTGAACAAGGGATTAGCACCTGGAGGATCTTGTGCTGTACCCTCAGCAGATTGCTCCACACCTCTGGTGCCCAACCCTTGTCTCCAGCATTAGATAAATGGTGTTACAGCTTGCCTTTTCTGACTCTGACACATCTCCATTCTTTGCAGATGATCTTCTAATAGAAGCTGCCAAGGGTGGCAACTTCAGCAAGGTAGGTGCTCCCACAGCCTGCTGTGATGAGCAGCTGGGGCTGGCTCTGGGCAGTCTCCCTGCAGCCTTCTCAGCTGGCATGCCTCTCAGGCTAAGGGAAGCCCTGCCAGTCATGCTTTTCAGTTGCCCTGGAGCAGCTCCTGACAAGGGCCTTCCTTTAGGAGTGGTGACTGGAAAACAGACAGGCTTCTGGCAAGAAGCTGTGTTTCTTTTCTTGGGGGACACATAAGGAAGGGACTTGGCAGCATTGCTGAGCTGGTCAAAGCTCCCCACCAGCCTCAAATATCCACACAACCTATCAGGCACTTCAGGGACACAGTGCCAGGGCTTGGGTCTTGGAGCAGGGAAAGGCAACTCATCCTGGGCAATCTGGGAATCTTGTAGTTCCAAGAGCTGCATCGAGCTGGAAGAGACCTGATGGTGCGAGATTCCTCAGGCCAGACTGTCCTCCACCATGCCGTCAAATCAGGGAGCAAGGACATCGTCAGATACATCATCGAGAATGGTGAGCTGGGGACCAAGGGTGCCACCCTTAGCAAAGGAGCCTGGAAGCCAAAAAAGCCCAACCCTCTGCTCGGAGGGAGTGCTCCTGGTCTTAGATCCCTTCCCTCCGGGTTTGCTACATCATCCTTTTGGCATCTGTTTGCCAGTACTGGGGTGTCCCCACGGCTGTTGCTGCATCCTGGCAGGGCCCAGCATGTCTCTGGGAAACATTTCTCAGTGTCCTGCTTCTGCCATCAGGGCAGCTGATCTGTTGTTTTTGGCAACTCCCAATCTTTTCAGCTCCCACTGAAATACAGGCTGCTTTATTTAGATATTTCTCTGTAATGAGTCCACAACCAACACTTCTTCCCTGCGCTCAGCTGGACTCAGATGCTGTTCCTGACTTGAGTGCATTGGAGTTGAGACTTTGTCAGGCAGCATGAAAATAACAGCCCCTATGAAACAATGCAGAATGTGACTAGGGAGTAGGTAGGTCTGTCTCTTGCCCTGCAGTGGGTCTCACTTGCCTGCACTCTTTCTTTCCACAGCCCCTTCAGAAATCCTTGATGCCACGGAGGAAGAGAAGTAAGTTGCTGACCGACTTGTGTTACCTGTTGGCCAGACCCTCTGTCAGGTGACCAGTCATTTGGGCACTTCAGCTGCCCGTGCTCTTAATTACCAGCACGATTCCCAGTCCATTGTGGACTCACTGGCCCTGTGTATCACCCCCTCTTCTGCCAGGGCTTCCTGGACAAGCACACAACCCACCATCAGCTTCTGCTGCCGCTGAATTGCTGTTCCTCGCTGCCACCCGCATGTGCTGCTTGTCCCCATTTGGGGGGACATCTCACATCTCCTGCTTTCTCCTCCCCAGCGGTGAAACCAGCTTGCACCAGGCTGCAGCCTTACGCCAGCGCACTATCTGCCACTACATCGTGGAGGCCGGGGCTTCGCTCATGAAGACAGACCTGCAGGTGACAGTGGAGGGGTGGCAGTGGGGCTTTCTGGGGTGACCAGAGGGCTGGCAGGAGCAGGGCCACCAGGAGAGCAGAGCAAGGGTGCTTTGGGTGGGTGTTTGCCAGCCAGAGACGACCTGACATGGAGCACATATGCTTGCCCAGCAGAGTCCAGCTACAGAGGGGTTAAATCCCTCTCCTCCCTGCACTTCTCTCCCTGTTGTTTTATTAAATTAGAAGCGAGGGGCTGGAATGTCTCATCCCTGTCTCCCCCTTCCCACCCTCCGGGGTCAGAGCAAGGACATTCTCCCTGCAAGCTCCCTCCCAGCTGTAGGACTCCCCCCACTCTCCCCCACAGGCAGACATGATGGGGGAGCTGGGAGCTCCTCTCAGCGGGTGAAGCTGGCCTGTGGGGAGCAGGAGCAGGCAGTGACAGCACTTTCCCTTACATGCTGTGTTAATTGAGCTGGCGTCAGGGAATTTTGCCAGCCCTGGCAGAGATGTCCCAGAAGGGGAGGGCTCGAGGCCATATTTTGATACAGGATGTTCCCAGGACTGGCATGCAGTAGAGAGAATGTGGTCAGATCTGTCTGGTGGAGGCTTGTAGTGATGGGCTATAATAGAGGAGATGTAGAACAAGTCAAGAAGGTCCAATCTGGACAGGTTTGGGGCACAGGTTTGGAGCCCAGATGAGGGGTGCAAACTTGCTGAAGCTAGTGGAGCTTGGGGGGCAAATTTAGACGATCCCAGTTTGCCAGTTGCCAGGGAGATGCTGTACAGACAATCTCTGGCTCCCCATCTCTCTTCCTTGGTCCTGTCTAAGGCTTAGGCTTTGCACAGCACCCAGAGTGGGCCTGGCCTGGATGGAGACTTGGCTGGCAGAGGCACGAGGAGAGAGCTGATCTGAGGGCACAGCCCCTCTCTGTCCCCAGCCCCCTCCTTTGCCTGAAGGAGGGGAACAGCCCCCAGCCTGCCAGCACAAAAGGGAGCCTCACTCAGGCATGCTGCCTGCCCCAGGGAGTGGGCTTGCACATGCAGGCACGTCAGGGTTTGTAGCTGTCTGGGGACCCCTCTGTGCTGCTGCACTGACCTCGCATGGGCTCTGGGTCACATCCTGCCTGCACAGGCAGGACCCACCTCATTAGAAACCCCAGCGTGAGACCTGTAGCACAGGTTCAGAGCGGGCTGATCCCACTCCCTGCAGTGGTGAGGGAGGCTGAGCCTTATCAGTTGGCGTGCCTGAGCCCAGCCGGGCAGGGAGGCCCTGGCAGCTCTGGTTTCAGGCTGCAGGCAGCATTGCAGAGAGGCTTCTGCAGGGGGACAGGAAAGAAGCTCAATTCCTCCTCTGTTAAATGAGCGATTGCATTCAGGGGCCGTGAGGAGGAGGTCCCTGAGGGGAGCCAGCACCGAAGCACAGAGTGGTCTCTGTCCCCCTGATGGTGTGGCTGCTGGGGTATGTGTGCAGGACCATGGGGTGTGCCCAGTCTTGGGGCACACATGCAAAAGAGGGGATTTCTTGGCACATGACACCTCTGCAGCCATGGGTGGGCTTTTGTGAGCAGCCCTATTCAGGCCCACTGGAGGTTCCACATGTCTGATCATTGGTCCTGATGGAGAAGCGTGGCTGTGGGTTGCTGTGGAGGACCAAGGCACCCTGCTGCAGCTGCCCGTGCCCTGCTGTGCACCAGGGAATGAGCAGGGCAGGCTGGGTGTCCCTTCCAGCCTTGATTTTCAATGGCAGTGGCAGAGTGCCAGGTTTCTGTGGCCTTTCTCAGCGGCACAGCAGAGCCTGGGCGCTTGGTGAGGAGGAGCAAGGGGAGGGAAGGGGGAGAGGAGATGGAGTTGGGAGCTGTTAACAGATTTGCTTTTTATGGAGTGCGGGAGTTCATTAGTGGACACAGTCCAGATGGCTGCAATAAGCTGGTGAAATGTGATCCTCCTCCGGGAGCAGGAGCAGGAGCGAGCAGGAGCGCTAGCCAGGCTGAGAGAGGGAAGGGGGGTTGGTATTCCTGGGCATTCCCCTGACATACCTCTCATTCCTCACCCTTTCCCTCCTGCCTCCCATCGTAGGGAAGGAGCAGGTCCTGGGGACCAGCCTTTGTCTCCTCTCGGGTGGCTGGTGATGGCCAGGGTCAATCTCTGTCGTAGCCATGCCTGGAGCTCATGGCCCTTCAGGGGACAGTTTCCAGTCCTGCAGCAGTCAGGCTCCTCAGGACCACACTCTCATCCCATGGCGAGCACATGGGCATTTGGCTACCACCTGCCTTGGGGCTTGGCTGAAGGCTCTGCTGGACCCAGTTGCATGGGGGAACGGGGGCATTTTTGGGTGCCAAGGCAGTATTTAGGCAGTGTTTGGCACTGACTTCTTGCCTCCCCTATGCAGGGAGACACCCCGAAGCACCGTGCTGAGAAAGCCAATGACCCTGACTTAGCTGCCTACCTCGAGAACCGACAGCACTACCAGATGATCCAGCGGGAGGACCAGGAGACAGCTGTGTAGTGCTTGGTGTGCCTTAGCCCAAGCCAGCTTGGGCAGGACAAGAGGACAATGCCAACTGGCAGAGCTATGAGTCTGGCCCAACCCTCCCTAGATGTCAGCCTGGTCCTTGGAGATGGATACAGCAGAGTTCTGCCCCAGGCTGGGCTGGGACTCTGTTTATGAGGACAGTGGGTATTTCGGACTTGGAGTCTGATTCTTTGTGTGTCCACTCCTTCACCTCTCATTCACCACATTCCCTGCCCTAGATGGGCTCTATCCCCTGACCATATTGAGGCAAGCCAGGCTGAAGCTCCCAGTCACTCTTGTGCACGGGAGTAATGCCAGTGTCCCCTCTGCAGGCTCCTGCCTATGATCCTTGTGGGATATCGTTGCTCAGCGCCTCTCTCTGCTGGCAGTGCCCCTCTTTTAGGTTCTTGGCTAGGTTTGTGTCCTGTTCCTCCTCTCCTGTCTGGCACAGCTGCAGGAGGCACAGGTTCTGCAGGCAGACAGAGGCCATGAGCCTCAGACTTTGCTGCAAGGGAAGCAGCACAACTTAATACCCCTGCCTCTTCCTTGCTCCTGGATCTGCCCCAGGTCTCTGTGTTGCCCTACCCAGAGCCTTCTGCAGCAGGAGGGAAGTTGCTTGTGGACCCAGCCTTTCCTCAGAGCACCTGGCACTGGTGCAGCTGGAAACAGGGCGGCTGGTGCCCTCCTGATTGCCTTTAGTGCTCAGCCAGTCAGCAGTCTGGCTCAGGGTATGGATGGCACAGAGTGGGAAGGCTACCAAGCTGTCCCACCATCCTTCCCTCCGTGGGGCTGGGTGGGACAGCTTGCTCACCCAGTGTCTGCTGGGCATCTCTTTGTGAGCCTACTGCAGCACGTAGTTATGGTGGAGAGCTGCACTTGACCCTGAGTAGTGCCTGTGGTGAAGCCTGTTGTATTTCCCAAATGCTGACTTGGATTCAGCTGCCCTCCCTGGTTCAGTTTCCCCTTCAATGCTGTGCATGGGGCTGGAGGGGCAGTGCTGGGGTCAGTGCTGCTCTCAGGGATTCCCCCCCATGCCCCCCCAACCTGGCAACATGCATCTTCTGAGTCCAATTCCTGCCATTCCCTAAACTGGGCACAGGACTTTGCAGGGAAAACTTCAGAGCTCACCCAGCCAAGGCACAAAGTCTCCGGACAGGCCACCAGCTCACCCTCTCCAGTTTTAGCAAGATGAGGAACCTGGGAAGCATATGGGCTCCCAGCCCTGAGTCACGCCTGCAGGGGGGCCTGCCGTGGAGCACGAGGCACCACAACCCATCTCCCCTGCAGATGCTGTGGACACTTGATGTGGAGGCATCAAGCCAGCCCTTCAGCAAGGCTTTTACAGAACTGACATTCTCTGAGACCAGGAGGTGCCAGCAGAGGAAAGATGATAGCTCTGAGCCTGGCAAAGCTGCTTGGCCATTTCAGGTGGGCAGTGATGCGGGTTGCCGTTCACAGCTTGGATCCTGGGAGAGGATAATGCTGCTGCCGCGTGGGGTCTGTACAGTCCCTCTGCACTTACACCCAGCTGTGCCCACTGGGGAGTGCCAGATGGCACCATTTGAATCTCTCCCAGTACCAATACCAAAAAAAGGTGATTATACCACAGAGAACCAGAATACTCTTCAGGTTTTTTGGCCAGGGGCAGAGTTCCCTTTGAGGATGTGGGATACTGTAGTGGGGAACAGAGGCAGAAGGCAGTGCAGAGTGGCAGGGGCCAGTTGGCAGTACTGGCAGTTAATAACGTTAGCATCTTAATGCGTTCGGAGCTGGGATGCTCCAGCAGTGCCCGGAGTTCCTATCAGCACTGCTGGCAGGCCACTAACAAACAAGGCACTGTCATCTTCTCAGAGGTCCACACTACTGCTCCCCCAGATGGGACGCCCAGCTTGGCCTAGAGGCATCTACAGTGCCAGCTTCTCCCTTTCTCCCTTATAGTTTTTGTACAGGTAGTTGAGAGACACACTGTCCCCCTCCCCGCCTGGCCCCTCCGTGCATGCGTGAGCTGAGTTGCTGTGCAATTCCAAGCCTGCTTGTATTTTGGTGAAGACGGAGGGGGCGTTGGTTGCCCTGCTCACTGAGGGCAGGGGTTCTGTGCAATACCTGGGTCTGTGTTTCCTAGACGCTGTTGTAGGATTGTATTTTTGTAACTCTGTGAGGATGCTGGCTCCAACGGGCCCAGGGCCTGGCAAGAGCCTGTGTTCCCATCGCTTTTCAATTTTGACTGTTTGGATGTTGTTGTTTCTTGCCACTGAAATAAAAGAGATTGATGTTTTAGTTCCCATCTCCTGCTGCATCTGCAAGAATGCAGTGGGTAGTGCACCAGTGATGCCTTGCACAGCTCAAACAAGGTCGTACCTCAAGGCCTCTGCCCCCATCCTAACTTGGGGATACTCTTTGGAGTTCCCTGTGGGCCCAGGTCCTTGCCCACTTCCCTGCAGAGCATCCCTCTGGAACTGCTGGATATGGGGTCTTTGTCCTTAGGGACCTTCTTCCCCGTTGTGTGTCATACATCAATACTCAGTGTAACACGGAACAGGGAGAAAGCGCACTGCCATCCCAAGTGATCCAGAAAGATTTGGAATTGTGAATTAGGAGCTGGCAGCCTGTTATTGCTCCCTGGGGCAAAGGCAGCAGCCCCAGTGGCTGCCCTGCCCTGGGCAGTCCAAAGCTGTCGGTGGGTGGTAGGTACTACAGTGGCATCCAGCTTCTGATTTCAAAACATTTGTTGGCCTTTTTTTGTAGTGAGCTGTCCCTAGCCATGCTCCTCTGCGGGAGAAGAACCTGCCAGGGGCTCTTCCTATTGTTTTCCCACTGGTCCTGCCTCCGGTGCTGAGCACTGAGGGCAGGGATTATCTCTGCCACTCTGGTGGGAGGACTGCTCTCCAATTACAAAAGCAGAGGATTAGGGACACTTCTGCTTCCAGACCCAGACTCACCTAGTTCTTTGAGTTCTACCAGGCCCTGGTTTGCTCATCACAGTCCCATAACTCAGACTTGCAAACCTGATGCACACCTAGGTCCTTCCCCATCTATTTTACAGTGAAGCTTGTCTTGGCAGCTTTCTTCAGCTTTAGTTTTAAAGGCCCAGCAATGGGGGGAGGCTATCAGCCTTGCTACCTGGCCAGCTGTCAGGATCCATTTCTGCATCCTGGGCTCAAATGTACAACTCAGAATGTCCAGACCCCTCACCACCCAGAGTAGTACCTGTTGCTGTGTGTGCAGCAGGCAGGGGAGATTCCACGTTCCCACATTTGCCAGCCCTCCTCAAAACCTATGCAGATGTTGAGGAAACTGCTGGCAGGGCGTGAGTTAAATGCACTGATCTCTTGAGAAGAGAGCTGGTTTCAAAGCACCTCATAAAAACCAGCCCCTCCTGCTCTGCAACCCCACCTGTGCCAGCCCTGCTTTCGGCACACTTCTTCCGGGATAAGGGGTGGGAAAACAGCTCCATTCCCCACCACAGCCCCATTCTTCTGGCTTGGTACTTGCCTTTCTGACTGCTAACTCCAGAGGAGAATGGGCTTGGCCCCTGCCTCAGCTCACCTCCTAAGAAAAGGGGGCGGATGTAGGGGAGGGAGCAGTCATGTCTGCAAGGTCCTTTTCATCCCCCGCCAGCAGTCTGATACCGCAGCTTGGTCCAAGGAGAAGGGCTGCAGCATGGCTGAGCTGGGGACTGGCAGGCAGGTCACAAGGGATGGTCTGGAGATGTTTGGGCCAGCACATTAATGATTGGGTGCTTTGGGAGCAAGTACCCCCCCAGAGCTCAGGTGGTGGGAGATGCACCTCCCCACGAGGGGCAGAGCAAGCAGGGAGAGACCGTGAAAGGTCGGTCCATCGATGCCAGTGGCCTTGGTGGAGAAAGAGGCATCTACGGAGCTGGCAGAGACACGGTGTGGTTCCTTTCAAGCCATTGAGGCCCCGGGACCGCCTTCCAGCGTGTCTCAGAGCGGCAGCCCCCAGGAGAGACCCCGACCGGCTGTTCAGCTCTGCACCCCTTCGGCCACTCAGTGATATTGGGGTGCGTGGTCAGCTGAACCCCCACAGCTTCCCTGGTACCGCGCAGCGGCTGCGGGTGGGAGAGCACTGCGATAAGGTGAGACCAGGCAGGGGGCAGGGGCCGTGCCCAGTGGGACCTGACTCCCCCTGGCCCAGCACACCCCCCAAACCAGCGAGCCGCCGCCTGCCCGCGCTCCCCCCTCCCCGCCGGCCGAGGGGCCAACCTGCCCCCTCCGCCTCCCTGCCTTTCTGCCTGCCGGGGCGGGGTGGGGGGGGGGGCGGCAGAGGAGGAGCCTGCGAAAAGTTTTGGGCTAAAAACCCACCTTTTTGCTGCCAGCCGAGCCCGACGTCAGGGGCCGCTGTGCGCTGCGCGGGGCTCCACACGCGGCCGGCACACAAAGGCAGCAGCTCCGCTCCGCGCTGCTCTCTCCGCGCCGCTCCGCAGGTGAGTGTGGCCCCCACCCAAAGCTCCCGTGGCACGGCCCGTCCCACGCCGCGGAGATGGGCGCCTCCGGCGAGGCCAGAGGCGACTTCCCCCTCACCTCCCAAGCGAGGCGGCAGTAATCCAGGCTGAGGGTTCCCCGCAGGGGAAGGGGCATTGCCGGGGTGGAGGACATGGCCGTGCCTGGTGAGGAGCTGCAGAAAAGGGAGATTGGGGCAGGGGTGCCGGGGCGGCGGACCCCGGGGTGCGGGATCGCCTGCGAGAGCTAGGAAAGAGCCCGGAGATGGAGGAGGATGGAGTTTAGGAGAGACTCAGGGCTCCTGGAGAGCAGATGGGTCGAGGCAGTGGCTTGGTGTCTTAGCCCCACTCCTCTTGGGAAACACCCCACTCTCTCTCGGGGAGAGCTCAGGTGGTGGGAGATGCACCGACCGGAGCCTGGGGAGCTGCCCCGGAGCAGGGCTCGGCCACTGCCAGCCTCTCCGGGGACCGAGGAGAAGGGACTGTGCTGGGGCCACGCACAGCATCTACTCTGGTGTGAGAGCAAAGAGCAGAGGTGCTCCCCTCTCTGCCCCTAGTGCACGGGCAGAACCTTTTCCCCATGGAGCACCTTCTTCTCCCGTGAGCTGAAGGTGAGGCCGCCTGCTGGAAAGCCCCACTGCCCGCCGGTGCTGCTCCCTTCAGAACCTCCAGCAGAACACCATGATCATGCTAAGGCCTTGGCTCTCGAGGAGAAGGCCTTTCCTGGCAGCAGGGAGCTTCCTGCTTTCTGTGTGCTTGGCACTACAGGACACGGGCTCCCCGAGCTCTGGGCTTCCCGAGTGCTGGGCTCCCTGCCCAGAGCAGCTCAGCCCGCAGAGGTAGGACCACAATCCTGTGCCCACCTCTTCCAGAGCCATCTGCAATTTGAGCCGAGCCGAGAGGTCCCACTGCTGGAAGAGGGGCTGCAAGGGGACTGCAAGCCCTGCAGCTGCCACGCTACCTGGAGTGCATTGGGGCAGTAGCAAGGGGATAGGAGCTGGGGAGGGTGTGTGGCCTGCTTTAGGAGAAGCCAGTGGCACTACCTGGCCCTGTGTGGTGTCCAGAAGGGATCAGGCTGTTCAGAAAATCAGTCGGAAAACTGCACTCCCTTTCCCTTATGGATGCGTTAGGATGAGCCATGACTGAAGATCTCTGCAGACTTTTGCCTGGAAGATGTGATGTGCCAGGCAGAGCCTGGGAGCAGATCCAGTGGCTGTAGCTGGTCTGCCCTCAGAGCCCCCCTTCTCACATCCCTATGTACACATGGGCAGGCCCCACAGCACCCAGAGGGAGCAGACTGTATCCGTGCCTGGGAAAGAGGCAGGGGTGAGCACGGCAGCTAGGGCTGTCTGCCCTGGGAGCTTGAAGGCCTTGTCTGAAGGGCCAGAGCAGAAGGCACTGGGCTGGGAGGTAGCTGCAAGGAGCACAGGGAAATGCTCTGCAGCCAAGTATGGAAGAAGTTTACAGAGCACCTGAAACCAGAGAGATGCTGTGAATAGTGCAAATGTCAGAGGTGCTACCCTATAAGAGCTACCGCAGAAAGCAGGACAGCCGTGTCTGTAACTCAGCTCATCTCCAGCCTTGTCATCTACAACCAGCCCATCTGGGCTGAGCTCTTGTCCCCTTTGAAGGCAGATGGGTGGGAACAGAGCTGAGCCAAGCTGTGCTAGGCAGGATGGCTCTCAGCCGGCCTGGGTGAGGGGGAAGGCAGATCTCACCCCTGTGACTGTGCCCTCAGCCAGCCAGTCTGTGTAATTCCCTGTGACAGTTCAATGCAGAGCAAAGCCGGCAGCTTGGCGGCAGATGCATGAAAGGTGAGTGCACTGGAGCCTGAATAATGTGGGATGCTGCTCTCTCTGGCACTCTGCCTGGGGAGCCTGGGGGCAGGGAGCACTGACCCCAGGTTCTTCCCTGCATTGATGTCCTCTTGGGCCTGCAGTTCACCCTGTCCTCTACAGCCCAGTCCTGCCAAGCACATCGAGCCCATTGTAGAGCCAGGGCGGGTGCAATTTATTTTCTGGCTGGCTGCTGCTGCACAGATATGGGTGGCATCCTAAAGGCCTTTGGTGGAGCAGGGAAAGGCTTGCCAGATTTGAGATGCCAGCTCTGCCCATATGCACAAGCTGGGACCCCAGTGTTGGCAGCAGCATCCTACAGAGTCTCATGGTGGCAGCCAGAGGGGAGCTGTCACCTGTTCCAAGGCCACCAGGGCAGGGGGTTGAGGGCAGGGTCTCAGGAGTCAAACCCTTATGTGTGTGCACCCTTGTCCCCAACATGCTCCCAAGTGCATGCCCACTGTGCACCCCCCTGCATGCATAGGTGGCACTAGCAGTGGGCTCAGCACTCCCACTCCATCCCTCCAACAAGCTCCCACACTGCTTTTTTTTGGTGTTTAATCCACTGGTTTAACTCTCAGACCCTGCATGGCAGCAGGTTTGTTTTTCCCAGGCTTTTTTTTTTTCCCCCTGATATCTTCTGGAACTGGAGAAAGGTATCATGAGAGCTGTGCCCCCAGGCCCTGGACAGCCTGCTGGGTGCTGGATAAAGAATCTACAGGCACCCAACTTTAGGGGCTTTCCCCAGGGGCTGTGTGGGGTGTGGGGGGGTCCCCATGGAGAGCATTTCAACCACACGCAGGGCAATGGGGGGGCTGCAGGGAAGGGAACAATCTCTCAGCCCTGTATCTCCCTGGTGGGAAGACATTTACTGAGGTACACAACCAACCTTCCTGTTGCAATTAATGCACGTATTCTAACGGGTGGCAGTGAGCAGGGCACAGGGGTGTACACACACACAGGGGTGTGCCTAATGGAGGCAGCTGCTGTCTTATCCCCACACAGGCTGCCCACAGCCCACCATGCCCCCTCCTCGACACCACATCGCACCCCAACCTCCCACCCACCTCACTCTCTCCCTCCTTCCCAGGCAGGATGCAGGTTCGGGGCCTCCTCCTCCTCCTGGCACTGATCCTGCTGGCTGCCACCACCGAGGCTGGCAAGAACAAGAAAGGTGAGGGGGCAGCCCGGGGTAGGGAGCCAGTTGGGTGGGGGCAGCCTGGGGCATGCTCTTCTGTCCCTGCAGAGAGCACCCACTTCTCTTTTCCTCGCAGAGAAGGCAAAGAAGGATGGCTCCAAGTGCGAGGACTGGCGCTGGGGACCTTGTGTTCCCAACAGTAAGGATTGTGGCCTGGGCTACCGCGAGGGAACTTGCAAAGATGAGAGCAAGAAGCTCAAGTGCAAGATCCCCTGCAACTGGAAGAAGAAATTTGGAGGTGAGTACATGGAGGTAGAGTGGCTGGGGACCATGCTGGGGTGGGTGACGGGGGCTGGTACCCACACTGGGTCCTGACCAGCTCTGATGCCTCTCCCATCTCATCCAGCTGACTGCAAGTACAAGTTTGAGAGCTGGGGAGGGTGTAATGCTCAGACAGGCTTGAAGACTCGCTCAGGCATCCTGAAGAAAGCCCTGTACAATGCCCAGTGTGAGGAGATCGTCTCTGTGACCAAGCCCTGCTCTTCCAAGATCAAGTCGAAGTCCAAAGGTCAGTTCTCACTACTCCTGTCCCTAGAAGGGTGTCCTGCTGGGACCCAAGGCAAGAGTTTTTCAGTATCTTGGCCCATTGGGGTTGACCTTTGCTGTGGTGTGGGGGATTATATAAGTTGTTCTTTCCTTTGCAGCTGCACATGTGACAACCCCAAAGTGCAGCTGCTGGCTGGGTGGGATGCAAGTGCTGCTAGGAAAAACCCCAGTCTCCCCGCAAGCCACTGCCAGTTTTGGTGGGATGGGGATCCTCTGGGACTGGTGAAAAACATGGTTTTACTTGGCAGGTGGCCACCTGCAGGGATATGGCCGCTGTGCCATGCCACTCTGGCTGTGCTAGCTACATTTCTGCCACAGCTCTGTCTGGGAGACCAGTGAGTTTCCAGCAGATGCATTCACTCTTGTCTCTTGTTCTTCTTGAATGCAGCAAAGAAGGGCAAGGGGAAGGACTAGAATAGGAAGCCATCATCTTCATTGTCCCCTCAACATGGTGCCTACAGGACTGGATGCCCAGCTGCAGCTGACCCATGCTACAGTCTTCCTTCTCCTCTCCTTCCTCCTTTCCATGACCTCCTGTTTTGCTGAGATGCCTTATTTTAATCATTAGTGTTGTAGAGAGCAAACCCACCCACTCACCCTGCTGGAGAGGCTGCTCCCATCCTTGCTACCCCACTACCACTGCCAGTGCCTCTCACTCATCTCTTCTTGGCTGGTGTTGGGCTTCGCTGGGATGGGAACACACATTTTTCCACCCTGCAGCACAAATGAGTTGCCTTTAGCACATCCTTTGGCAAGTCCAGGACCCTCCTTGTTCCTCCACCAGCAGAGGTGACAGAAGGAAGGGGTGGGTGTTGAATGCCAGAGTAACCCCATTACTCATGCCCCTTACTCACTTGAGGACTGATCTCAGCTCAGGAAGCTTATTCCAGCATCCCTTTGGCTAGGGTATGAATTACCTGCAGCTGAGGTAAACACAACCACCCCCAGGAACCACTGCGTCTCTCTCCTCTATCACTTCTAACCATGTGTGTTCCTGTTGGGGCTGCAGCCCCTCTGCCTTTGCCACACCAACACTGGTGCTGGGTGGGAACTCTCACTCCTTTTGGAAATGGGGTTTGTTTTCTTTTCCAATAAAATCTTTTTTTAAAAAGTATCAGAACCAACCTGTTGACCCCATGAAGTGCTGCTGTGCTGGAAGCCCCAGCAAACCCCAGCTTTGCTGGCCACGCTGGGACCAGCAGTGAAGTTACCATGCAACTGGCAGTGGTTGCCTGGGTGCCACATGAGCATGGTCCTGGAGAAAACACATGGGCTTCAGGCTGCCCCACCTTAACCTCGGCAGAAGGGAAGGGACTGCCACCCACGCTGCAGGAAATGTCACCGCTGCAGGAAATGTCACCGGTAGTTGACACTGGGAAGTTGGGAAGGAGCACCCAGGTGATGACTCATTTACTCCTCACACTGTGGCTGTTGTTTTCTGATCCAAGGTCTTTATTTGTCTTGGGATGGGATGGGTTGGGCCACAGTTGTAACCATTTGAATACACCCAGAAGCCCACCAGGCATTTTGGGTGCACCTGTGTGAATTATCCTAAAGGCAGTGGTGGAGGGATTTCCATCTGGGTTGGGCAACCTTTCTCCAGGTTACACAGCATCATCCTGGTGTGAGGACGGGAAAGAAATTTGCCAGTGCTAGAGTGGCCCTATCCTGTTCTTTGTCTACACCTGGCTGTGTCCCTCAGCGCTTCCAGAAACCTGGCTTTGGAAGAAGCTGAGGAGCAGTCCCGGGCTGGCCTGGGTTGCACACACAGCGGGGCTGGGAGGCTGGGGATGCTGGCTGAAGCCCGCATGCTGAGGGCTCTGCCACAACACCCACGACAGCATTACATCCATTTACAAAGCTCAGCAACTGGCTCTTTCAGCCTCCCTGGAGCATCCCGCTGCACCCAGGGCAGAAGAGGGCCACTGCCACCCTCTCCCACCTCCAGAGCCATGCACCAGGCCTCCCACACTCACTGTGGGGAGAGTGGGGACCTGCTCATGGTCCAGATGAGACACAGGGCAACTCGGCCACATTGTAAACTCTCTTCCCACCTGCCCCCAAGACCCCCAGGTCCCCGCTGTCCCACCCAAAGACAGTTAATTTCACAGTCACTGCTGCCCAGTTCTCAGGGGCCACCTTCCCCAGGCTGTGGAGCTAACTCCTGCACCACACCACTGCTTTTCATGGCAGTTTTAGTTTCCATCACTGTAGGAGGTGACTGGGCTTCACACTCCTCATCCAGGAGTGAGATGCTTGGCTTGTTTGTCCAGCCATTTGCGGGCTGAGGGAAGAAAGGGCATGAAGAGGACGGTGGAGCCAAAGCCCAGGGAAAAATTCTGCCCTGGGTCCCTGCATGAGGATGTCCGATGGCACTCTCAGGAGAAAGGAAGGAGCTTGCCACATGTTAGGGTGCAATCTTGCCTGCTTTGGAAGGGGGCCTGGCTGTGCCAGCAGGACTCCCCATTACCATGTCTGAGCCAGCCTGTACAAGATGTCTAGCAAATGTTTGGCCCTGGTTGCTTTTCATTTCTTGGGTAATAAACACTTTTAAAAGCCCATTGAAAGCATCCAGCATTAGCCCATCTTCACGCAGACAAGCTCTGATGCCCTGGAGACAGTCAGCTAGGGGAGAAGTTGCATCCAGTCTTAGGAGAAACACTGATGTCATTTGGCCAATCTCAAGAGCATGGAGCTGGGGAGGGCTCCTGGTGACCACATCTCCTCTTGCCTCTGGCTTTTCTGCTGGCTCCCCAAGCTAGACCCCAGGCCCTGGAAGGACTTGCAGCTCAGAGGTGCCTTGGATCTTTGTCAGCATTAGATGAAGGGCATCATCTGCAATCACTGCACAGTCTGCATTGTTGTGAGTGGGGAGCAGAGGAACCCCTGCCGGCAAAGGAGGCAAAGGGAAGGGCTTCTGTTACTGAAGTGGTCCCTGAGTGCCAGTTTATCTGGCTGTGCCAATGTTCCTGTACTGGCACATGAGAAGGTGCTTGAAGGTTTTCTTGAAAGTGGCATTGCAGAGGGCATAGCAGGCTGGGTTGATGGTGCTGTTGACATAGCAGAGCCAGTAGCCAATGGACCACACTGTTTCAGGTACGCAGGTCTCACAGAAGGTGTTAATGAGGACCATCACGTTGTATGGAGTCCATGTGAGTATGAAGGCTAGCAGGATAGCAAATATGGTGCGGGTGACTTTCTTCTCTCGGGCTGCCATCTGGCGCTTCTTCCGTACTTGGCTTCTGGCAATGCTAGCAAACTTCCTGGCAACATTGGCTGGGCGGCTGTTGGCCAGGGAGTTGTGGTTAGAGGCTCCACCCTTAGCTGGGACGATCTCAATGGCGGTGACACATTCACTCCCACTCTGCTTGGTGACGATCTTAATCTTGGACCACTTGGAAGTTGGGTTCACCCGTGGGTGGGACGGGCTCTGTCCTTGCCCCACTGGCAAGATTTCTGCTGTGGGCTTGTCTTTTGTGGTCTGGGTCATGCTGACAGTGCTGGACTCATTAGATGTCTCCTTCTCTTCCTGATGGCCGGTGGCCTCTGTCTGTGCTGATGGCTGGTCATCCACTTTCCCATTCCTCACCTCCTCCTTCACCTCCACAGCCCTCTTGGGAGAGTTATTGTTGTTCTGTTTGATCAGGGGGCCCTTGAGGAACCGGAGGGACTTGGTTTTCCTCTCTTTCCTGCTTTCAGGCTTGTGTCTCCTCACTCTGCTTCTGCTGGCCAGGGAGATGTGGATGTACAGCACTGTCATGATGACCACGGGAAGGTAGAAAGCAGCAATGGCCGTGCCAAAGGTCACTGCTGGGTTGGAGAGGAACTGGATGTAGCATTCCCTCTCAGGGACTGTCCTCTTGCCCACAACGAACTGCCAGAACAAGATGGCAGGGGCCCAGAGAACGAAGGACAATATCCATGCAGCTGCAATCATCAACCCTGCCATCTTGGTGGTCCTCCTGGCAGGGTACGTCAGGGGCTTGGTGACACAGAAGTACCGGTCAAAGCTGATGATGAGCAGGTTCATGACAGAGGCATTGCTCACCACATAGTCCAGAGCCAGCCACAGGTCACACACCACAGCCCCCAGAGGCCAGTAGCCTTTGATGATGTAGACAGTGTAGAGGTTCATGGAGAAGACCCCGATGATAAGGTCCGCGCAGGCCAGGCTGAAGAGGAAGTAGTTGTTGACGGTCTGGAGCTGGCGGTTCACTTTGATGGAGAGCATCACCAGGATATTCCCCACCACAGTGACAAGGCTGAGCGAGCCGGTGACTGTGGCTATGAAAACCAGTTCCACTGTCTTGTAGTTGGTGGGAGGCTGGATGGCCACCTCGGAGCGGTTGCCCAGGGTGAAGTTGTCATAGGTCAGATTGGCCATCTTTGCCTGCCAGGGCTGAGCAGAAAGGTTGTGCATGGAGTCTGCAAGGGGAATTGGGACAGAAAGGGAGAATATCAGACTCACCAGCCTGTGCTGGCAGCATTTGCTGCCTCTTCAGTTTCTCAGGCCATCACTACTCATGACTAGTGCTCAAAAATCTCATGGCATTCCTGGTCTTTCTCTGCCCCTACAGCCTTCCCCCAGAAGTTCTCTGGAGGTACTTTTTGTGCCCCTTTTTAGCAGTAGAGGAGGCTGCAGAGAGAGAAGCAGGGTCAGAGCTAAGGACAGCCTTTTGGCCAGGGTGAGATAGTCCTTTTCTGCAGGGCCAGAAACCGCATCCCAGCAGGAGCACAGACCTCGTGTGCCCTGGAGAAGCACACAGAGAGCAAAGGTCTTAGGGGGGAACGGGGCTGCAGAGCCCAGCAGTGATGCACACACGGGACTCAGTGCTAGAGCAGCATGGCATGGAGCCAGGGTCCTCCCCTAGAGATGAGAGCAGGTTTATGGTATGACTCAGGCATGTCCTGCTGAGCTCCCCAGAGCACTCCCCAAGGCAGGGGTTAATCCACAAAGCCCATTCCGTGGCTTGCTCAGCTCACCTGTGTCTCTGGCAGCAAACAGTTCCTTCTGGAAGATGAAATCTGTGACAAGGAAAACAGCAAGTTACAGTACATCTTTAGATCCAAAGAGTTTGTGTGACGCCCACAACATCTTACCGGGTGCACCAGCATGTCCAACAGGTTGACTCTGCTCAGACGCAGATGGCTGAAAAGCCAAGTAAGGCTGAAAATGGGTAATTTGGCTGGGCCTGATTCACAGCACAGCCCCAGCAGGTGCAGGAGAGGGAGGGAGCTGCATGAGTGCCATCAGTCAGTGACACTGTTAAGTGATGCCCCCTTATCCCAGTCCCACATTACGCTGCAGCTGCAGCCACCCCAGCCATGGAGATGTAAAGGGTGAAGTCAGATACCTTGGCATGATACATGGAATTATTTATGAAAAGTGATGAGAATTATGGACAGAAGACTGCCTTCATCCAAACCAAGATGCCTGTGGTTAACTCCCCAAGGTAAGAGTAGAATGTACCTTAAAAAAAAAAAATCAATAGACCAAAATTGCTATGTTGGGACAAGGGAGAATTTCCTGGAAGGTGAAGGAATAGCAAAGGTGCTGAGGGAGATGGGCTAGACAGAAGAACTTCCCGCTGGACCTGCCTCTTCAGCCACACAGGCCCCCAAAATATTCTGGGCCTTCACCAGCCTCACCCTGGGTGCTGGGGTCATCCCAACCCCACCAGCCCAGCAAGGGCAGCCTCTCCAGCAGCTCTGCCTGGTGCCCAGGACAGCAGTCCTGCCGGGCAGCCCATCCAGCCCCATGGGTGCTGCTGCCAGGAACCCAGCAGGAACCAGTGAGCATGTGGGTGTCCACACCGTGGGAGCCCTTGGCACAGCACGTCTCTGCAAACTGGTGTGGGTGCTGGCTCCCAATGCCTGGGACTCCTGAAGCTGATTTTACTAAGTGTATAAACATACCATTAACATGCGACTCTTCCAAACAGGGTCTGGCAGGCTTTGGGATCAGTTCATCTATTTAAAGTGTTTTATAAGAAATGTCCTTGTCTTTCGTTTGTGGTGAGGGCAGAAGATTTCTGTCATCAGCAAACAGCCAAGGTTTTAATAAAACCACTTTCTAAAGAGATGCAGGTGTAATTAAATGGAAACGTGGCTGCT